TGGGGAGCAAAAGGTTTGTCTCCATGGACTAAGACTCTGTGTGTGTGTGTGTGTGCTCAAAGTGTGTGGTTTTGAGTGTTCAACCCAGGTGAGCGTGGGGTCTGCTGTGTGTTGCTGTGTGTGCAGTGCTGAGTGTTGTTGGGTGTGTGGGGTCGGTACCATTGTGTGCGCGGTAGTGAGTGTTGTTGGGTGTGTGGTGTGTGCGCGGTGGTGAGTGTTGCTGGGTGTGTGGGGTCGGTACCGTGGTGCGGTGGTGAGTGTTGCTGGGTGTGTGGGATCGGTACCGTGGGGGGATCTGGTGTGTTGGATGTCTGCGCATGGGTTTGTTGCAGCGCGTTGGTGTGTGGTGTCGGTCGTGTGAGTGTGAGGCTGTCTTGGAGCTGAGCCCGGCGTCAGGCACGGCGGGCCGCGGGGCCCGGGCTGCAGAGAGCCGGGCCCGGGCCGCGGGGCGGCGCTGTGGCGGAGGCCGGGGCGCGGCGAGGGGCCGCGGGGCGCGGCGAGGCGGCGTGCGCCGCGGAGCGGGAACTGTCGAGCCGAGCTGGAGGAAGTCCGCGGGGCTGGGACGAGAATCTGGGAGGGGGGGCGGCGAGGGGGCACTGGGCCCTGGCACTTGGGGGGGGGGGGTCAGGTGCTTCCCGGGCATCCGAGCGAGGCCGGGGAGAGGGCAGGGGGGCTGCCCGGGCTGTGCGGTGCGAGGGGCGGGGAGGCGGGACCGAGCCGGGGAGGCCGCGAGGCCCCGGGGGCCCGGCCAGGCCGGCGCCAGCCGCCGAGTTGAAAGGCGGCCGGGGCCTCTGCGCGCCGCTTCCCGTTGCGCCCCCGAGGGCTGCGGGCGGGGCGCGGGCCCAGACCCGGCTGCGCTCACCTCAGGCCTGGGGTCACTACCAGGGGCCCCCCGTGGTGGGACGGCACTTGGGGTCCCGCCTAGCCGCTGACCCGAGTCAGCGAGCCGAGAGACTTCCACGGGGCGCGGGGTACCGGCCGTGCGCCCTCCAGCGCCCGGCCCCGCGCGTCCCGATTGCCGTGGCCCCGGCCGCTCCACGCCCCGCGCCCGGTGGCCGAGGCCGCGGCCGCCCCGGGCTCCCACGCTGTGGCCGGGCTGGGCTCGCGGCGTGGTCAGAGCGGGGTTTGCAAACTGACTCCGTGTCGGACCCAACAAAACGCGGGCGTCGGCCGGGCGGGGGTTGGGGGGACCCCGGGACCCCGATCACTGCCAAGGGGCAGCGGTCGCTCGAGGTCGGGGCTCGGAGGAGTTAAACTCACACCCCAGGCCCCCATTCCTCGGTGGGGACACGGGCACCGCACGCACCCGCAGCTCCCGGCCCCAGGCGCGCCGGCCACGCGAGGCTCCCGGGTGGAGCCGGTTCCAACCCCCCCCCCCCCCGCCCCCTCGGCCCCTAATCGATTCTGACCTGGGGAAGGCCACGCCATGTCCCGCAGCCTCTTCAGGGTTGTGCGGTGACTGCGCACAGTAGGCCCCAAGGATTGTTCCGTCCTCCATCGCAGTCGCCCGCACGCGGGGAAGCCCTCGGGCGTCACCGACGCAACGATTCTTTCCCCATCAGAAAATCGATCTGTGACAGACCCGACCCCCCCCCAAAACGGGGAAATTAGGGAGCAGTGGGGGAGGGTGGAGAGAGCCAGAAGCGATGGCCAGAGCCTCGCGTGGCCAACACCCGGCCCCACCCGCCGAATGTGGCTCAGGATCATCACCCTACCCAAGGCGGCGCGCATTTATTGAGCACTTTCTGTGTACACACGAGTTGGAGAAAGGGCAATCCGAAAGAAAAGGGGGGGGGCAAAGAAAGGGCTAGATGGGAAGAAATCAGAGTGGCAAAGCCAAGGGGCAGCAAGGCGGAGGGGAATCCAGGGCGGGCAGCCCAGGGCAGAGGCTCGGGCGGCGGGGCCGGGGTCTCAGGGCGGTGGGCCCCGTGCGCGCGCCCCGCGAAGGTGCAGGGGGTGGGGGGCGGGGAGGCGCACCCGCCTCGCCTGCAGCTACCGCCTCGCTGGAGCCGCCGCGCGTCTGCAGAACGCGAACCGTTGCTCATTACGGCAATTATGTTCCTCTAAATTTGCCTCGACCCTAAATTGCCGAAGTCGGAGGAGCCAGGAGGCCCTGGAGCTTGGGCTGATGGAGACACTCGATCCCGCCCCGCCATTCCTCTATCCCGCGTGAATGGAAAGCACCCCCCCCACACACACACACCGCGCTGCGGGGTGAGCTGAGAACCCACGGCCCCAGATCCTAGGGGCAGGGGAAGATGCCAGGCCCATTGCAAAGGTGAGAGAAGTGAGGAACGCAGAGGACCCGCGGGCAGGGGACGCGGCGGTGACCCGCGGGCAGGGGACGCGGCGGTGACCCGCGGGCAGGGGACGCGGCGGTGACCCGCGGGCAGGGGACGCGGCGGTGACCCGCGGGCTGGGTCTAGGGGCCGCCTGTCTGACTTCAAGCCCCGGGACTGTCGCCCATGGCGCCGCAGAAAGAAACCCAGAGGAGCCGTTCTGGGGGTCAGGGTACACTGGGTGTGCAAGGCCATCCTTGAACTTCTTAATTTGTGGAAAAAAAGGAAAAGGGGAACACTTTTTATGCAAGCAGCAGCGGACCTCTTGGCCTTCAAACACCTTTAAAGACCACCAGCGGGGGAGTCGGAGCCTGGTCTGGTCGGTATAACTCCTTCCTCCCTGGGGCGAAAAGGCCCTGCCCTGTGTTCGGAAGGTGCTCTGGAAATCGCAAAGCCAAAGGCCACTGCTCCACCCGGGACCCCCACAAGCTCACGGAGTGGATGGCAACAAATTGGGGCTGTGACAAGTTCAGACTATTACCCAGGCCAACCAATCCAGACCTAAGGGTTGAAGGTCTGGTACCGGGTAACAAGGCCTGAAGCCAACTCAGAGCTCATGGGGTGGAGAAGCATGACCCTGGTCTCTTGGAATCCCCAGGCTCACCTGGAGTCCTGGGACTAGAAAGGCAGGGAGGCTCAAAACTTCTCTTTCACTCGGCACACACATTTGCCCCTCCCCAAGTCCAAGACCGCATACTGAGTCTCTTGGATCTTAAAAGTCCTGGTCTGCTAGTGTCTCCTCTTAATGGGCAGTGGGCGGAGCGTGACCCGGGGTCGGGGGCCTTCTTCTTGGAGTTTGGAGGAGCAGGGCACTGACAGAGGCTGGGCAACCTAAATTTGTTATTTGAGGGATGAGCCCAAACCAAAGGAGGAGAGAGAGGTTCCGGGAATATAATTGGTTTGATTTAATAAGGGGTCATTTTGTCTTCGATAGCCTTGCAAAATTCTTCCCAGGAGACTGAACTTGGAACTTCTTCAAATATACTTTCCGTGGAAACCTGGGCCTGACTGGCTACATAAAAGCAAAACCATGTTAATGAGGGCCGGGGAAGAAGCCCGAGGACCTGCCTACAGTGAGAGTATGCGCTGACTTTGAATTTTCTGTAACGTTTGATACACTTCTGGTCTGTTGTAATCGGGACTGTGAAGGTGCCCATATTCTGAGGGTTCAAATAGAGTTCCCCCAAACATCAGCACCCAAGCCAGGTGCCTGGTGGCTCCCGCCTGTAATCCTAGCTACTTCGGAGGCTGAGATCGGAGAATAGAGGTTCAAAGCCAAGCCAGGCAGAAAAGCCCATCAGAATCTTATGTCCAATTAACCAGCAAAATGTTGGATGTAGAGCTGTGGCTCCAGGGGTAGAATGCCAACTTTGAAAGAAAAAGCTAAAGGACAGTGCCCAGGCTCTGAATTCAAGCCCCATTACTGGCACTGCAAAAATAAAATAAAAGCAAAAATAATAAAGAAGCTAAGCAATTGCTTCTCTCTCCCCCCACCTGGCCTCCTGTGGGAGAAACAGGTTTGTAGAGGTGGGACTTGTCTGGATTAGCTGTCTACAGTCATCAAACCATTTGGGCAATTCACTTTGTTTTCATAGACAGGTTAAACGCGGAGAAAAAAAGAAAAGAGTCAGTTACGGGTCGCCTGAGCAAGTGTCGATTTCAGCTTAAAGTGAATTGGAAAATTGAGCCTAATTATCGCAGGTAATTGCTTCAATTCTCCACTTGACTCTGCTAAGGTAGATCTGTCCCGTGTGCCCCAAAAGACAGTCCCTTTATTTCTGGAGACTTCTCGTCACCTTTGAAAGTTGCTCCTATAAAGCTATCACCCAGCTGGAAAGCAATTGCATATGTGAAGAGACAGCAAGAAGCGCAGTTAAAATACAGGAGTGAATTGGGCAGAGATTTTTTTTGTAGCTTAAAATTAATTTATTTAACAAATATAGCTATAATATAAACGATAATAAAATTTCAAATATACAGTATATTACATAGTACACACACAGTCCCTTCCAAAGGGGTGTTTGAGAGCCACGAGAATGTACTGTTAAATAGAAACAGATTTTTTTTTTTACACATTTTTTTTCTGGTCCTGGTAAGAGAAAAGTTCCTTCAAACCTACCTGTGCCATGCATCTGTGCACACTCTCACCTCCCCACGCGCGTACACACACACACACACACACACACACACACACACACACACACACACACACACTGAGCAAGGTTTTGCTGCTGAAACTTTGTTTTCCAGTGCCAGGCCCTGGGATCCATCTCCCCTTCACAGTCTTCTGTGTCTAGGACTGTCCTCATTTCCAAACGCATCCCGCGTTAATGTCTTGTTGCTTCCCCGCATTGGTTTCTGTCTACGCGGCGGCGGGAGATGTGTTCTCCAGTCCCCTTCAGCCTGAAAATTGTGTTAGGGACCTTGAATACATCATAGCCTCTAGGGCCTCCGTTTCCCCATCTGTAACTGGCGGGTGTGTAGGCCTAGGTTCTAGAAGCGTTCTAAGGGACCCACTTTGTGGAAGGGGATCAGACTTGGGAGAGAATTCAGGAAGCAACCGGAAGCACGGGAGCTGGGGTTTCAAGAGAAAGGGCCAGGGCGGCGGGGGGTGGTCTCCTGCTGGTAGGGGCGGCGGGCTGGAGGAGCGGCTGGCCCCGCCTATGTCAGATGGTACATGCTGTAGCCTACGTGCGCCGTGTAGAGTCCCACGGGTGCCACCGGCAGCGCGGCGCGCTGGAAGGGGCCAGAGGCGCTGTAGAGCGAGGCGCCGGCGGCCGCCGCCACCGCGGCCGGGCCGCCCAGGGGGAAGGAGAGGCCGAAGGCCGCGGGTGGCAGCATGGGCTTGGCTGCCATCTTCAGCTTCTCCAGCTCTGCCTCCTGCAGTCTCTTGGCCTTGGCGCGGCGGTTCTGGAACCAGATCTTCACCTGCGTCTCGGTGAGGCTGAGAGAGCTGGAGAACTCGGCGCGCTCGGCGATGGACAGGTACTGCTTCTGGCGGAACTTGCGCTCGAGCGCCAGCAGCTGCGCCGTGGTGAAGGGGGTCCGCGGCTTGCGGTTGGTCTTGTGCTTTCGTAGGGTGCAGGCCGGAGGGCTCAGCCGCCCTAGGGGGCCGTGAGAGAGAAAGACCGGGGGTTAGAGCTTGCGGGGGAGAGACCAGATCGCAAGGGAGTATTGACAAGAGAGTAACCTAAGTCAGCACCGATCTGTGCCGCGCTCCCGTGTTCCGCACGCACCAGAAACACTTGAAAAAAATATTCTTTTTCGTATTCACTCCATAACCCTCCGGGGCAGACGTTCTGGCCCACTTTTTTTTTTGTTTTTGTTTTTGCAAATACACCGCGATGCCAGAGGAAATACAAGCATGTTGGAGGCCAGAACACAGCTGGGCAGAGTTGGATGGCAGCAGGCCTCACCCGGCTGTCACTCACAGGGAGAAGGTGGCTGCTAAAGCTGGTGGCGCAGAAACAGGTCTGTGCCTAGCCCAAGGGTCATGAGTTTTATGCAGTTTGGGGCGCAGCCAGGGATGAGCACTGGGGTGGGCCTCTCAGAGGCAGAGGGGAACTTGGAACCCCTTCCTCTTCCCCCTGGAACAGCCCCGTTCCTACAAGGTTCTGGGGGAGAAGACAACTCAGAGGTCACACTGTGGCCAACCCTTAAATATATAAACTGCAAGTTGGGGTGATGAAGAAGGGGGCATTCCATTTTAACTGGCCAGCTGCTTCTCTCAGTTTCCCTTTGGTCTTCTCTCAGTGCCCCCATCCCCTGCAGTGCTAAACCTTAGGGGTTTTATTTTGGGGGGGGGGCAATGCAATGGCTCCTGAACTTTGGGCTCCATTTACTGACAATATAGCCAACAGTGTTTGTCTTCTGGCTTCTAGATAAATCTCAAGTAAGGGCAGAGAGCCAGTACTGGGCCCCGAGTTAGAGAAATAGCCACCACTGGCTGTTACCATGGTCCTGGCCAGATGAACCATACAACCAATGATTTCCAGGGACCCCATTGATTTGGGGCTCCCAGGGCTCAAGGCCCTACACCAAATTCCTTCTGCGATGGTGGATGATGCTTTGTTTCCCAAAGGCAAGTGGAAATCCAGAGTGTTTCAGCATGCGGGTTTTGCCCAAGTGTATTTTAGTTTGTGTTTTAAAAGGGGGAAGGAGAATGCTATTTGGGCTCAGACCACCAGGATGTGAGTCAAACAACACCCCCTCCCACTCTCCCCAGGCCCCCCGTGAATCTGGGCAGCAGTTGGCCTGGGACTGGCTTTCGGCGGGGCCTGGCGGAGGAGCCGGCAGGCGCCTCGGGAAATGTCCGTCTGTGGCCCGGGCGCCGGGGCAGACCTTCTTCTGCCCTTAGGCCCAGGGAGGGGCTGGCTGGCTTCTCCCCCTCTTTAATCCCCAGATAGAAATCCCGGCTGGGCCTCCCGCCATGGAAATCGTGCGGGCTATTCTGCAGTGCCACATAATCGAAGGAAGCGAGGAAAACTTGGGAATTTCCCGTGCTCCTGAAATATCTCGGAGAGGCTTCGCGGGGCGCGGAGGCCGAGGCCCGCCAGGCCTGCCGAGGCTCCGGAACGCGCGGCGGGCGGCTGAGGTCCTGGGGGCGTGGGGGTGGGAGGGGGGAGTCGGAGAGACGCTGGGGGGGAGCTTCCGACACGATGAAAACGGGGTGCAGCCCCCAGTCTGGTGCCCCCACCCCCCTAAACCATCCATCTGCTGCCCTGAGCACCAAGGATCAACCTCAAACTTGAAGTGGGGAGGGGCGGAGTTCAGTAGAAGCTTCCGAACCCCGTAACGGGAGGGGGGTACCTTGCATTGTGTGTGGGGGGTGTCCGGGTCGGAGAAAGTGAAACCGCGCGGCGGGGCGCCGCGGCTCGGGACGCGGGTTCCGGGTCCCACCGCGATCCACTCCCCGCGCGCCCGGCGCCCGCGTCCTACAAGTGACCCGCCGCCGCGCCAGGGCGTGGGGCTCGTGGCCACCCCCGGGCCTCGAACTCTCTCCCCGCGTGGGCCGGCTGGAGGCTCAAACCCCGGCCTCAGCCGCCAAAGCCACCGGGCCGCACGGCCCCGGGGTACGCGGGAGCCCCGAGACTGGCCAGGCCCCCCGCACCCCTCTCTCCCCGCCCCCCCTGGCCTCGCCGCCCGGGCTCTGGCTACTCACTGGCCGGGGGCGGGGAGAAGCGCGGGCTCTGCATCCACGGGGACCTCTCGGGCTTCTCCGGGCTCTCGGCTTTGACCATCGCGTCCTCGGGCAGCTTCAGCAGTCCTCCCACCGAGAAGGGGCCGAGCGGCCGCGGCGAGGAGGGCGCGTCCGGGGCGCCCAGCGGGCCGGCTCGGGCGCCCGGCGGCGGCGCGCCCTCCGAGGCCGCCGGGGCGCTCTCCTTGGCCCCCGGCTTCCTGTGATCGGCCATGAGCGCCTCCACACTGAAGGGCAGGAGCGAGGGGGACACGCGGGGCTTGGCCCCCTCCTCGTCGGCGCCCATGGCGGCCGAGGCCGAGGCCGCGGCGGGGGCCGGGCCCGCGCCTCCCCCGGCCGGCTTGCCGAAGGCGGAGTCCTCCACTTTGACACCGAGCGGCCGAGAAGTCATGTCAGCAGCCGGGGCCATGCAGAGCCGGGCCGCGCTCCAGCCGCTGCACAGGCCAGCCGCCGGGCATGGGCCTCGGGGACCCCTCGGGGGCCCTGGCCGGGCGGGTCCTCCCGCGCGAGCCTCCCGCCGCCGCCCAGAAGGCCAGCTCCGGGACGCTGGGCCTGGCTCGCCGCCGCCGCCGCCCCGCAGGCCGAGCTCCCGGGCGCCCTCGCCGGCTCCGGCTCCGGCCGCGGCTCCCCAGAGAACTTGCTAATAAGGCGAGGCCGGAGCGGCGGCAGCCAATCACCGCGCGAGGGGGCGGGCCCGGAGCGGCCCATTGGGCCGCGCTGCCGGGGACCGGCCTCGGGGCGCGCGAGGCCTGGGGGGCGCCGCGCACAGCCAGGCTCCCCGCGGGCGCGGGAGAGGAGGGGTGCGGGGGACGAGGGGGTGGGGGAGGACGAGGGGGTGGGGGGGGGACTCGTCCCCGAGCTAAAGCCCCCCGGAGGCCTCGGTCAGTCCAGGTCCCCGCCCGTCCCCGTCTTTCCGCCTTCTTGGGAGACTTTCCCCCGTTCCCACCCCTCTTCTCCCTTCGTCCCCCTCCCTCTCTCCTGCGCCCCCTTTTCCCACCCCTCTTATTCCCCCCCCCCACACACACTTTCCTTGTTTCCTAGACTGCTCACCGACCCCCGTCCCCGACTACTATCTGTCCCAACAGCAATCTGACGAGATCATTTCTAAGAAATTACTTTTATATGTGTGTGTGTGTTTAAAATGAAAACACGGCGTGGTTATGTGTCCCGGTGGAGAGACGGGGCTGCCTTTTTATGAGGCCGTCCTTTCCTTCCTATTTTAATCCTCAGATTGGGGGGGGCGAGGTGAACCCCTGGGCCTGTGTCTCCACCCCAGCGCAGGGCTGAAGTTTGTCCAAGGAAACCCCCCCTGCTCCTAGGACGCACGGAGAGGTGACACGGATGGGGACCTAACCCAATCATAAAGTGTGCCCCCCGACCCCAGGCTGTCCTTGGGAGCGTTCCCCCCGACCGATGCCCAGTTGGGCGCAGGGCGGCCGCCTCTCTGGATCCTTTGGAGAGAACACGAATCGAACTAAAACCAACGAGAGACGCGCGCCGACCACGGATCTGGCCTTCCCGTGACCTCGGACACCGGGTCTGCGGAAACAATAACATTTCTCCATCTCCAGGCCGCTGTGCCCGGGAAGGAGAAGGCCCGTTCGGGGCGGGCTGGGGTGGGGGTAGGTGGGAGACAGAGAGAGGGGGGCGGGATAGGGGTTCCTCGCGGTGGAAGCCCGGGGCTGAATGTGAGCAACTTTTGGGTCGCCAATTTCGGAAGAAAAGTGGCCCTATGCGTTTTCTTGCTGTTTAACAGAAGAGGCAAAATGAGTGGGGTGTGGAAGGGGAACGAGGGGTGGAGGGAAGACGTAAGATCTGTGCGCACTGTGTGTGTGTGTGTGTGTGTGTGTGTGTGTGGAGGGTGGGGAGAGCGATCGTTTTCTGGGCCTCCTCTTTTATGGCCTCTTATCCCCGGGCCCAGGCCGTCGGTTCCCGGGGAGCTAGCGGAGGAGGTGATTGGCGGCTCACCGGCCCGGCCATTGATGACTGCGGAGTTCTAATCTCCAGGAAACACAAGGGGTTGCTGTGGCCATTTAGGGGTAATTATCCGAGCGCGTAGGGACAGCGAATTCCCTCGCCTTTTAACAGGGCTCCATAAAAAAAGAAAAAAGAAGAAAAAAGCTGTAGATTAGGGGCGACCAGATTAGGGAAAATGAATTACTGGAGCAGGAACTTTATTACCCCGGCCGGCGGCCGGCGGCGGCCCGGGTCTGGAGGGAGGAGGGGTCGGGCTGATGATGGCAGCCCCACGTCTGCCCGCAGGCTCCCCGAGAAATCTAAGGCCTTGAGGGGGGGCGGGTTCGGGAATATTCGCCTCTGGGAACGTCACGCCGCCTCCCCGCTTTGCCTGCGGACTCGGGCCCCGCTGGAAGCTATGTTTTTGGGGAGTCCTCCCCTTCGCCCCCGAGGCGTGCCCCGTGCGCACGGAGAGAAGGCCAGGCTAGCCCATTTCAAAGCCCCGCGAGGCTGCAGGCCCAACGCCCCGCTCACAGCCCGGGGGCCGCGGCCGGCTTCTCCCACCGGCCGTTCTAAGGGAACCCTCTCCAGGCTAACCACTCCGCCGCCGGCCAGGCTCGTTTCCCGCGCCACCCCCCACCCCTCCGCCCCGACCCTGGGCGTTGTGGTTGAAAGAGGAGAGGAAGGAGGCCGAGGGCCCCCGGGGTGCTTTTTCAGGCCCACATTTTAAGGGCGAGCTCCGTCGTTCTCGGCAGGGACGTTTCTCTGATCCCATCCTGGGTGCTCAGACTCGGTGTTTCGGAGTCTCGGGTCATTTCAGCATCGGACGCAGTTAAGCGTGTTCTCTCGAAAAGGGCACGTCGGCCCCCCAAACCAAATAGGCTGCGAGCGCGCCCGCAGGCCACCTTCCCGGACCGCCTTGGAACCCGCCAGTTACACAGTCCATGCTTTAGGGCCTGGGGAGGCTCGAACCCCAAGAGTGGAGCCGCGCCACGTCCCAAGGCGGCTCCCGCCGAACGCGTCCCGGAGCGCGGGCGGCGGGCTGGGCCCGGCCGGGCCCGGGGCCGCGCGGCCGGGGGAAAGGCCGCGTCGCTAATTGCGGGGATAAACAATCTGTCACGACCCCTCGGCGCGCCTCCTAGGCAGACGAGGATGTTGTTTTTAGGCGCCAGCGGCGGCCGGATCAAAGGCTGCCGCCGGCTCCTGGGCCCTTGAAGTTGCGCCCCGTGCCTCCCGGGAGCAAACCGCCCGCGCCCTGGGTCCTGCGCTCCGCAGCCGGCCCCGCGGCTTCCCGAGCCCGGTGCGCAGCCCCACGACGTGGGTTCAGGTTCGGTGTGTGTGTGTGTGTCCACTCCACCGCCGTCTCCGTCCCCGCGCGTCGGCCTCGTGGCAGGCCAGGAGAGAACGGCGGCCGCGCCAAAGCGGTCAGGCCGGTCGGTGGGCACCGCGCGCGCCGGGAGGGCGCACGGGCCTCGCCACCGATCCGCCCCCCTCCCCGGGATCCCCAGGCTAAGGCGCCCCGAGAGACATAGAGAGAGCGAACCTCGGTCCCCGGGGTGCGCGGGACGCGCCTGCAGGCGGGGAGGCGCGCGGGGCGGCGTTCTTGGAGTTGGTTTTCGCCCGGCCTCGGCCGGGAAACCGGTTGCTGGGTGGGTGGGTGGGTTCGGCCCCGGGGGCTGGCAGCGCAGGTTTATCTTGTCGACAGCGCAGACCCCGAGGCTTCGCCCCCCCCCCCCGGCTTTATGTCTCCCCGAGGCCGGCTTGGAGCCGCGGAGAAAGCGGGCGGTAATTCATGCCGGGCCTGGGCAGGGCTGGCCCGCGGCAGATAAAGCTGGGGACTGGCGCTGCGCGGCGTCCGACCGCCCTCCTCCCCCTCCCGCGCCCGAAAGCCAGCCTGCGGCCTCCACAAAGCGCCGGGACCCGCGTCCACTTTCCGGGAGGTCAGTGGGGGGGACTCCCTCACCCCCACCCCAAAAAATCACACGAAACACCCACGATCGTTTTTAGGGGCGTGTGAGACAGCGGCGGGGACGAGATGGGTGATGGGATTACTAGGGATTTTCCTCCATGTGCAAAGATGAACTTTTGTTGGAGGGACCCCCATCTTGAAGACCGCTGCCCCCCCCCCCAGCAGTGCCCAGGGGCCGGCCTGCGCCTCTCCAGCGTTCGTGGTCGCCTCGATGGGTTTTCGTTCTGCCCTCCCTCCCTCTCCCCCCACCCCCACCAAAGCGTTCCGTGGCCTCGGCCCAGGAATCTCGCATCCATTTTCTTAAAATGCGCGGCTCAGTGGGACCCCCGGCAATTAGCGAGCCCCGAACAGTCCTCTTTAATAGAATGAATGTGTAATGAAAACCGATTACCCGGAACGATTTATTTTGGTGGGAATTCACCAATCACCGGGAGGGCCTCGGAGGGTGGGGGTGGGGGGAGAGGTATTTTGCTCGGGGTGGGGGCGGGGTGGACGGGCAACCCCTCGGGCCCGCGCCCCGACAACCTGCCGCGCGCGCCCCGCGCCCCCCGCCGAACTCGTCGCCTATGGAGTCAGAGGCTGGGAACCAAGTTGGGTGGGGGGAAGTGGACGGGGAGGCCTCTAATCCTCCCCAGGGGTCCCGTGGCTTTCCAGCAAACAACAACACCCCAAGGAGATCGGAACTCCAGGGGTTCACCCCGCGGGGCGCGAGCACAAGCACCCCCCGCCCCCCCCCCCCGCTGACCTGGGGCCTGGGCAGAAAGGATGTCGGTGGTGCCTTTCCCTAACGCATCTCCCAAGTTAAAAAACAAAAGTGAATTCTTCATATATCACAGTGTGAGCCTCTGGCTAAGTCCTGCGCCGAGCGCGGGGGCTGATCGCGCCCCGCGCCCGCCCCGCGCCCGCCCCGCGCCCTGCCCGAGGACCCCACCGCCAGCCGGCCCCGCGTCCCGGGCCCGTCCCGCCCTCCCGGTGTCTTTACATTTAGAGGTGGGGGGGGAGGAGCGAAGGAGGGGGGGACAGGATCCGAGGAAGAGAGAGAGAGAGCCTCCCCCTCAAGTGGCCCAAATTAATGCGCTCGGGACACGAGGGTGCGCTTGCGGAAGATGAAAGCGAGGCCGGCCGGCTCCTCCCAGAGCTCTATAATTATAGATAATATATCCCATTTCAAAGCAATTAGACCAATCAGGCGTAACGAACCACTTTGCTGCCGACGAATAACAAAGGCGCACGGTTATTTAAGCCTGGAGATGTCAAGCAGACCCCGAGGCTCCAGGGGCCGAGCAAACGTCTCCCACTGCGGCTCTGCTCTGCTCACCCCGGGCCGGGCAGGCCCTCCGTCGGCCCCCCTCCCCGTCCCCCCACCCCCGACCCCGGCAGGCCTGCTGGGGCCCCCACTCGGGTCCCGCTGGACCAGAAGGGCAGAGTTAGGAGGAAAGGAGGTAGAGAACTGACTTACTGACTTACTGGGTGTTAGGCCTCTGGTCCGAGGTTTCTGGAACTTTCGACTCTGAGATACATATTACTATCTGATTCCCCCCCCCACCCACACACACCCCGGCCCCAGAAGAGGGGACACAATCAGAGAGGTTAATTGTCTTGCTGAAGGTCACACCGCTAGTTAGTGGTGGCGCCAGGAT